GGGGAGAAGGATGCTGACACTTCCTCAAAGAAAGAGGGAGGGAGTGAAGAGAGACACGCTGAAGGAGAGGAAGACAGAAAGGAGGAAGCCATTTTGGTTCTGGGGACTCGTCTCGGTGGTTTCTGCTCCTCTTCATCCACAGAGACCTGAGGGGACAGGTCTGGACTGGTCTGAGGAAGGACAGAAGACATTTGACAGCTCAGAGGTTTTCTTGAAGAAAAGTTTGTCTTTCATTCAGGAAGAAGAGAAGAACCGAGACCTGTCAGGTGGCAGGCCCAGACAGACCTCCAGGGTCTAAAGACTGGCTCTGTTGGACTCGTTGACTCAGATGTTGGGGTCTYTCGTCAGAGCGTAGATACGGTTCACGTTGGGACAGCATCTGGACAGACGATGAGTTTGGAGCGTGTCCCCTGCAGGACAGAGGTGATGGGCTGGAGTCCTCAGCAGCTGGCAGACTACCTAAAGACGGTGAGACTTCTGTCCTTTTTATGTCTCTGGTTCCAGACTCTGAGACCTGGTCCTTCATGGACCACCACAGTCCCAAAGTCACCAAACAAACGAAGGACTTGACTGAACAAGAACCGAAGCCAGGGTCCAGTCTCAGACAACAGATAGAGGACAGGTTAAGGTCTGGTCCAGGGTTTCCTGGTACTGATCTCTTGAATGGTTTTCTGAGAGCTGCGAGATAACGCCACAAACAGGAAGTGCTCGTTCTGCTAACGCCAGAAACAGGAAGTGCTCGTTCTAGTAACATAGTTGTTGACGAGACTCTGAAAGTGAAAATATCCTGAGCAACAGGTCTAAAGAGTCCGGTCCTGATCCAGCAGCCTGCAGCAGAACCCTCACAGGTGCTGAGTCAGTCTCTCATGGTGCTGGAGGATTTTTGACCCACTCCTCTTTCCATCATTAGCTTCTACTTAGGTCTCTGAAGGACCATCACAGGGGTCCAGTCAGGTCCAGGTTCTGTTCTGGTCTCTGATTGAACCGTTGTAGCACCTTGAGTCCTTTAGTCTACAACAGACGGGTCCACTCAGATGTCCAAACTATCTTCAGACTGAGACATGTAGATTCTTGTCTTGGACCCTCTGAGACCTGTAGACTCTGACCTTTGGCCCCCTGAGACCTGTAGACTCTGACCTTTGACCCTCTGAGACCTGTAGAGTCTGATCTTTGGCCCCCTGAGACCTGTAGATTCAGACCTTTGACCCTCTGAGACCTGTAGACTCTGACCTTTGACCCTCTGAGACCTGTATATTTTGACCTTTGACCCTCTGAGACCTGTAGACTCTGACCTTTGACCCTCTGAGACCTGTAGACTCTGACCTTTGACCCTCTGAGACCTGTATATTTTGACCTTTGACCCTCTGAGATCTGTAGATTCTTGTCTTTGACAATCTGAGACCTGTAGACTCTGACCTTTGACCCTCTGAGACCTGTAGACTCTGACCTTTGACCCTCTGAGACCTGTAGAGTCTGATCTTGGACCCTCTGAGACCTGTAGACTTTGACTCTCTGAGACCTGTAGACTCTGACCTTTGACCCTCTGAGACCTGTTGACTCTGACCTTTGACCCTCTGAGACCTGTAGACTTTGACCTTTGACCCTCTGAGACCTGTAGAATCTGACCTTTGACCCTCTGAGACCTGTAGAATCTGACCTTTGACCCCCTGAGACCTGTAGACTCTGACCTTAGACCCTCTGAGACCTGTAGACTCT